CTCGATGACTTCGCGGGACAGAGCTGGAGCTCGTGGGTGGAACGGGCCGACCTGCCCGCGGCCGACGGTGAGTAAAGCTCCCCTAGAGTCCGAGGACCCCATCACTGTCTCCCCTCCCCCCCTCGGGGTCCCCGCCAGCAGAGGGGAGCTGCCGACGGGAGCCGCCGTCCGGCTCCCCGGCCCCCCAAACAAAGGACCCACCGGGTCCTAGTGCCCGCCCGCTCCCCTCCTCCGCGCCTCCGGGTCCTAGCGCCGGCTCACCGCCCGCAGCCCACCCTGCCCACCTCTGTCTCTGCCGGTGCCCAATACCTGTCCCCACATGTGCTTGCTTTTATCTTTCTTCTTGCTTGCTGTCCTCCAGCTTCCGCCCCTCCTGCACCTGCCTCGGGCTTTCCCCATCCGCAACAGTCCTCTCCACGTGTTTCCCACGCACCCCACTTCTGTGCCCTCCTCCCAGCCCCCCCTTGTTCCTTCGCCTTCTGCCCCACACCTCCTGTTCCTTTTCGGCTTTTGCCTGCCGGCTGCGGTGCTACTGGACCCCCTCCTCCTCCGCGTTAGTTCGTCGACCTATCCATCTATCTATCCATCCTCCCTTCCTCCCTCCTTCTGTCCATCCATCCATGCCTCCAACCCACCGTCCTTTCCCGGGCCTCTTGCCCTGCCTCTTGGCTCTCTCCCCTGAACCCCACCTTCTGCAGGCCTCTGGGTGCCTTTGGTGATCGGGCTGACAGCCCCCTTCTCCTGATCTTTGTCTCCTGGGCCCCAGGGAGCACCTGGCCTCGTGGCCTTTGGGGTGACAGCAAGCATCACGCCCCTGAAGAAGTTTGCAAGTAAGAAGAGGTGGTGGAGGAGGACCGCTCCATGCGGTCTCTGATGACACTTGTTCTCTGAGACGTGCGACTCCCAGCTCAGTTCTGTCCATCGCTGCATTTTAACCGACTTGAGAGTGGGAGCTGCCCCTTGTCTCTTGCATGCCTAACCCACCACCCCTCATTTCTGGAGATTATATAAGACTGTCAGCAGTCTTCTCAACCCAGAAAGGGTCAAATCTGTTAGTAGGTGTCTGGAGCAGACCTTAGTGGGAGCCCAGGCTACCAGGGACTGCCCCATGCTGGGTGGGCGAGGATGGGGCCATTGTCAGGGTCTGGGTGCATTGAGAACCGGAAATGGAATCAGCCGGGTTTGGTGACTCAGAATTGATTTTTTTTTCAAGGGACAGGGAGGGGTGTAGAGGAGGGAGGGGAGAGGAGTAAGGTAGGGGGATGGGGAAAGAGCTGCTTTGCACAGCTAAGGTGTTTTTGTCATCCACCTAGAAACTGAGAGGTACAAGGGCAACCCTTGCCCAAAACCCCCCTAAAGAGGGAAGGGCTTGTATCACTGACCAAGGCTAACTTTGAAGATGCCAGAGGACTCCAAGACAACAGTTTCTCTGCTCTGTGGCCATCCTACCAATGCAGGACCTGAGAAACTGGTGTAACTTTGACCATGCCATGGTAACCCAGGTGGAACAAAATTGAGTTCATGGGGATGGGGACCTGGGAGAGTTTCTGTTTGGGATGCCACAGAGTAGCAGAAAGGACCCAACTAAGAAATCTCAAGAAGGGACTCGGGATCTATAGTAAAATATGTTAAGGAGTGTTTCTCATTTCACTGGGGAAGATAGTTACCCACAGTCACTTAAGTAGTTGGCAGTGGAACCTTGAATCTCACCTTGAAGTAAAGGGCCTATAAGAAAGATGGCTGGATCCTTCCTAGTGGGACCAGCCCCTTCCAGAGGTAGCAGATGAAGGAAGAAAGGGCACTGGAGAATGACCCACTAAAGGTTCTCCAAGTGGTCCTGAGCATCAGGACCTTGTCTGGGAGTGTGGGCTTCCTACTACCTGGCTGTAGGCCCTGGTCGGGTAGATGGGGCTTCTGGGAAGGGGGTGGTCCTTCTGAGCTGTGTTTCTCCTCCAGGGGCTGATCTGGAGGACACTAACAAAAGCACGAAGAAGTTGGATGCCATGACCCTCATTAAAGAAGGTGGGAGTCAGTACACATTAGGGCTGGGGGCCTTCCCCTCTTCCACCACATGCTTGGAGGGGTGGGTCTGGGGTCCTCACTGTGATAGGTCTGAGTTCGCCCATTCACCTGGCTGCTGGGACCTGTTGTGGGAGATCCTGATCATAGGGGGTTGATGCCCACTTACCTGAAAGCCCACATTCTTAGGGACTGGTTAGATTGAACTCTGGGAGCCTCAGCATAAAGCCTATCATGCCAGCAGGGAGGGGAAGTGTCTTCTAAGTGGTGGAGTGGGAGTGCTCACCGATCTTACAGGGGAGCCCTGGGGTCCCCAGCCCCAGTGATGAGGGCTTCTGTCATTGCAGACATGTCCATCTTCGGGCACTGCCCTGCGCATGACGACTTCTATTTGGTCGTGTGTAACCACTGCAGCCAGGTGGTGAAGCCTCAAGCTTTCCAGAAGCACTGCGGTGAGGGGAGCCCTAGGGAGGACAAGGGGCAGGGCAGCCGGGCCGGGAGCTCCCAGGTCAGGGGCAGTGGGAGGCCATGCGTGTAATGGAAGGGGGCCTTGGGGATAGGAAGGTCCTGGGGGTGGCTTCATAAGATCGTGGCAGGTTGGGGTTATAGGTTGAGCAAACTTCCAGCCATTCTTTCTGGTGGAGTTGAGGGAAGGAAGAGCTGAGAGATTCAGGAAGCTGGGTCCTAGAATTTTGAGTCTTGAAGGCTCAGATTCCGAGGGGAAGGAGGCACATTGGAAATCTAAATTCCAGATTCTCTGTGGTGAGTCTGTGAGCAGGGATAGCAGGTTGGGAAGGAGGTAGTTGGTTACTCACCTCCATTGCTCTCTCCACCTCCTGGTGACAGAAAGAAGACATGGGCCCCTCAGCAAGCTTTACGCCCGGGCCCCACCCCCACCTCCAGCCCCCGCCAGCTCTCAGAAATGCCATGTAGTGAATGGGCAGGGCCCAGCTTGTAGGGCCCCAGGTTCCACCAAAACCTCCTCCAGGGAGAAGGGCCAGGGGTCCCGGAGCCGTGGCCACCAACCTCCTGAGAAGAGCCAGAAGGACAACCTCTGGTAAGGAGAGGCTGGAGACTCCCAGAGACCGCCCGACCCCGGCCCAGGGAGGGGTTGACCAATGGAGGCAGCTGTGGGGCGCTGGGTGCTGTTTGCATCAGGAGGCAGCCGGCTCTGTCTGCAGCCCCCTCCGCGTGCTCCAGGGAATATGGGGTCCCCTCTTCCCATGTTCTGCATCCCTGCTGGAGCCTACCCAAGTTCCAGGGCTGGGAAGGATTTGGCTCTGGGCTAGAGCCCAGGCCCCAGGCCCAGCCTCCCTGCCCCTAGTCCACACCCTCTCTCCATGTGTAGCCTTTTCGTGCCTGTGGTGAATCTGGAGAAGATGTCCGGTCTCCCGAAGCCCGATGGACATGGAATCAGGGTGGCCCCACCCTCTGCTTTCCTCAGCCAGCCGGGCAGCCTCACCAAGGACTCCCCTGGAAAACCCCCCATGGTGCCCCCTTCTAAGGAACTTCCTGGCAGAGAACTTCCTGGCAAGATAACCCCCAGCGAGGGCCCCAGTCACCGGGCTGAAGGCAGCCCCCCTGAAAAGGAGCCTGGCGGGGCCAGGCTGCCCCCTAAAACCCACCGGAAGATGGCTCGTGAGTAGTCATGGTCTTAGGGGTCAGGAAGGTAGAGTGGGGACCCTTGCTCTGTCCCTGGACCTGGTGGAGGTGGGGCAGAAAGGAAAGGACCTGATCATCACGGGTCACTAGGGTGCAGGTGCCCCTGGTCATCCCTTGACATGGACACATTTGAGCTGCTTACTCTCAGGGAAGCTTCTCTCTAGCCAGGTCTTCCAATCAAGGCTAAGAGAGCCTGTGCTGAAACAAGTGAAATTATGCTTTCTCACCATGGGCTGGTGACTGTATCTTTTTTCACCTATACCCAGGGCATCACTCCTCTCACAGCTGGCTTTCCTCACATCCCAGATGTCTTTGACTGCTGTTGTGTTTTGATATGTGTTGCCCTATTTGGGGCTTGGAGTCTCCAAAAGCAGTGCCTGGGCTGCAAATGGGAACAGGGATGGTTCTTGTGCCCAGGAGAGAGCTGCTGATACCTGGAGATGTTTCTCTGGAAGGCTGCAGCCTCACACTGGAGGGCTGGGGGCTCTTCACCTCCCTTAGGCCTACTGGAAATGGCTTTGGGGCTCACTGGAACCGCTTTCCCGACAGGGAAGGAGTTCGACCTCAACAGGCAGTGTGGGGTAGTAAATCCGGAGACCAAAAAGATCTGTACCCGCCTGCTGACCTGCAAGGTAATGCCCCTCCCACCGCACAGGCAGGGAGGATTCACTGACGTGGGCCCTGGGCAGGAAGAGGAACTTAGATGTTCTCCAAGATCCAGCTCCAAGGATCGGGGTGAAGCCCAGACCTGGTGAGGGGAGGGGAGGCTGCCCCCAGGGGGCCTAGAGTGGGGGCAGCCGGCATGGGGTGGCTTCCAGATCCCCCATCCCGAAGGAGGGTTCTGGCCCTGTTGGGGAGTGAAGCAAAGACACACAGACACACCCACAAACACACTCACAGCCCCCCTCTCCACTTGCCCAGGCCAGAGCACACGGCTGCCCCTCACCCCTGCTCAGCTCACATTCCCCTCCCCACCCCTCCATCCTGCTGTGTTCTAGATCCACTCGGTGCACCAGCGCCGGGAGGTCCAGGGCCGGGCTAAGGACTTTGACGTGCTAGTGGCGGAGCTGAAGGCCAACTCTCGCAAGGGGGAGTCCCCCAAGGAGAAGAGCCCTGGGCGCAAGGAGCCAGCTCTCGAGCGCCCCTCCCAGGAGCCCCCAGCCTCAGCCCCGGCTGTCGCAGTGGTGGCTGTTCCCAGCAGCACCTTCTCTGCTCGTGCCAAGCAGACCTACCCATACTGTGCACTGCCCAGGTACATCCAGGATCCAGCCCCATCTCACCTGGGGACACTTGGCCCCAAGCCATCAGGGACCCCTGGAGACAGTCCCAGGGAGCGTGCTGGAAGATGCTACTAACTCTGCCCCCCGAGCATGGGAGGAGACCTGGGGTCCCGGTGGGTGCGGAAGTGGGTGACTCTGTTTCTAACCAAGCCTGCCACAGTGCCCCCACCTCAGTAGTGTGCCAGTTCCAACGCCCAGGATGAAAACGTTTTCCCAGCTGCTTCCGACAGGCCAAAACTCGTAACTGGGGAGCCGAAAGGCTCAGGGAGCCCAAAGGGTCAGGGTCCTGGGCGAGGCGGTCCTACTGTGTATTCATTTGCTGGCCCCTTCGTGTGCAGAGACTGCGCTGGACCCTGGGGAGAGCCTACCTTGCCGGAGGAGACACACACGCCTCTCTGCCTGTAACAGGAGGGGCAGACAGAGACACAGGCTCAGCTCCCAGACAGGCTCACAGGAATATGTGATGCGAGAAGGGGGTTGAGAGAATTGACTGGGCTGACCAGAGCTGGGTGCAGTTAAACTCAGAAGATTTGCTGGAGGAGGCGAATCTGGAGCAGATTTCCCCCCGAGGAGGCAGGGCCTGGGAAGTGAAGGGGCTGGGGAGAGAATCCCGCGGGAACGTGGCCCCTGATCTTTCTGGCTCTTACTCTGTGAGCTCTGTTGTTCCCTCCCTTCCTCTCCTCCCTTCCTCTCTGATGGCCCAGCAGGGTGTCTGCCCTGGCTTTTTGAGCTTGTGGGGTTCAGGGACACCCCTGCCCTGACCCACTCCTGTCACATGGCCCTCACATCCCCTTTGGCCCTTCCAGGTCCCGGGCCTCTGAGAGCGAGTTGGATGATGAAGGCCCCTGTGGTGGTGATGGGGACCCAGGCCTGTTCCCCTTCCCCCTGCCCCGGGGTGGGGCCCAGGCCTCCAGCGAGGAGAGTGAGGAGGAGGGGACATCTGATGACCTCCACCTCCCCCCTGACTGCCATTATGCAACCCGGCCCCCCAGGCCACAGGCGGTAAGGACCTGGGTGGGGTCCTGGGGTTGGGGGTGGCCCAGCCCTTCTTGCCCACAGTGTGTGCCGATACCCTCCCTGCATCTCAGGGCCCACTAACCATGTACCTTCCCTCTGTCTCCAGTTCTGCACCTTTGGGAGCCGGCTGGTGAGTCCAGGGTGCTATGTGTTCAGCCGCAGGCTGGACCGGTTCTGCTCGGCACTGAGCTCCATGCTAGAAAGACATCTCAGCTCACACATGTGGAAGTGAGTTTCCCAGGCTCAGAACTTCCCTCCCCAGGCCCCAGGCATAGGTGGGCCCCAGAAGCCCTAATCCTTTACACATACCCATAGATGTGGCTTGGCTGCTTGCCAGGGAGACCCCAGCCAGAGGGAAGAGGTGGGGAAATTTGGCAGCTTGGAGCTGGGCTAAGGCAGGGCATGAATGGTGGCCTGGGAGTGACTCTCGACTCTTATCCATCACTTCCAGTACCTTTTAGGTAACTAGGGTTAGGGGCTGTTCAGACATTTTAAAAATGATATTATTAATGGATCTCTATCCTAGTTCATTCGTATCTGTCCCTGTGCCTTCTTCCTAAGCCTCAGTTCCAGCGTCTCCCAGCAGATGGCAGCACTGCCAGGGCTTTGGGCCATTTCTAGGTGGGGCAGAGATTGGTGTCTGTTGGTGGAGAGGCCCTCTTGTTTGCTTGACATGACAGTGTCGCTCTCTTTTTGCTGCAGGAAGATCCCACCGGCGGCGGAGCCGCCATCCCACCTTGCCAGCTCCCCCCTACCTGCTCCCCTGAGCCCATCCTCTACAAGCAGCTGCCCCCACCTTCCAGGCCCACCGCCTAGACCTGCCTGCCCAGCTTCCACGCCCCCCACCAAGGACAGCCTTGTCTCCAGCTACCCTGCCGGCTCCCCCAGTGTGGCAGCTGCCTGCAGCCAGGCTGAGTGCATGGGCGGGAGCCAGGCCATCACCTCGCCACTGCCTGCCAACACGCCCTCCCCGTCCTTCAGCAGGCTCCCACCTTCAAAGGCCAGCAAGTCGTCCAAAAGCAAGGATGGGGCCGAGGTGGAGGCGCCTTCCCGAAAGCGAAAGCTGTCCCCTGGCCCCACAACTTTCAAACGGACCTGCATCCTGGAGCCCACTGGAAAAGGCAAACCTGCTAGCTGCCGGGGCCTCTCGGCCAAGACTAAAACCGCACTGGGCATGGGGCTCAATGGGACGGTGGGGCCCAGAGTGAAGCGGGCAGGGCCCCTGGACTGTCGAGGCTCCCCTCAGCCTGCCACACCAGTCAAGGCTTCTCAGATGGACAACCGGGGAGCTGCTGGACTCCCGGCCAAGGCCCTGCCCACCAACTGCCTCTCTGAGGAGGAGGTAGCCAAGAAGCGGAAAAATCTGGCCACTTATTGCCGGCCAGTGAAGGCCAAGCACTGCCAGACTGGCCCCCCTGCCGACGCAGCCTGCTCTGTGCGCCGCAAGAAGCCAGGTCCAGCCCTGGCCTTTGAGGAGAAGTGTTCTACACTGAAGGTAGCCGCCCAGCTCCCTGCAGAGCATGGGCAGGGGAGGGTCAGGATGGGTGCGGGTGCAGTGCACCATGGGAACCTGACACAGACAAGGTGCTGAGTAACTGCAGGGAAGGGAGGAAGGGGCAGGCTGAGGGAGTTCCTGGGCCATCTTTAGGGAGAGGTGGGTCAGCTCATCTCAAGGTGACCCCAGCTTTTGCTTGATGGACCTTTTGCTATCCAGCCCTCTCCCTCGATCAGCCTAAGAGATGCTTCCTCTGCCTCCCCCTCCCACAGCCCCCACTTTTGTCATAATCAAAGGGTCACTTTCTGAATTGGCTGTGGTCTTCACTCCAGGAACTGGAGCTACCTCTGTTCCCTGAAGGGAAGGAAGTTGGACTCTCTGAACTCTGATAAGAAAGGTTTGGGAGGTGAGGTTGAGCTTGGGTCCCTAAGCTGTGGCCTAAACACTGCAGAGCAGGGTGGGTAGGTCGGTCTTGCTCATTGCTTTTGCCTCTGGGCATCAGGGCATGGAAGAGTAGGGACACAACTCAAGGTCCACAGATGTGTGCATGCCCACCTTGCACACGTACCCAGTTCTAGGTTTTCAGGTGCCAGGCAAGTTTTCTAGGGTTTCTGGTAAAGCCAGCAGCCAGGGTGTTTTTTTTTGCTTCTGTTGATGGAGCCCCAAATAGCATGCCAGGAGCCATCCATAGGATCTCAGCCAGGAGGGAGTTACTGGGGGTGGGAAGCGGGGATGCTCTCCTGGGTTAGGCATGGGCCAGATGCATACCAACACCTCTGGTACCCATTTGAGAGTGGTGCGTGTGGCAGTTGCCCAGGCCTAAGTGCTTGTGTGTGCACACGTGTGCATGGCTGTTCTCCAGGCTGTCCCTGTGGGGCTGGCTTTCACCCTTCCCCTTGCTCAGCTTTACTCACCAGGCCAGCAGGAGGAAATCAAGCCTTAGCTCTTGTGGTCCACACAGTTCACTGAGTAGGACAACCCGTAGGCCCCCAGCCTGACCCTGTCTCTTGCCTCTTGTCTCCCTGCAGTCAAAAGCCCATTAACAAGAAAGTGCCTGCCCACTGCGATGGAGCCGCCAGCACCTCCTCCCCTCCAGATCCGGGCCCCAGGCTGCTGCCGCTTTTTATAACTTTATATTATTTTTTTTAAGAAAAAAAACTTTAAAATACCTCAAGACTGTCTCCCTGTTCTGTTCAGCTGCTAAGAAAATATAAAAACAGAAACTTAGAAAAGGAAGGGGGAAAAAAATGTAACAAAATGAGTGTCCTTACTGTCCCCTACCATACCCCAGGAGGCTGAGATGATGGATAGCCAGACTCCAGCTTCCCTCTCTTTGTCCCTTGAAACAGTGTGGAAATGGCTGGGGTTTGTATCATTGGGAATCTTCTTTCCAGGCAGGATGATGAGGCATGGCTCTGAGCAAGCAAGGCTCCCCAGGATCTTGATCCCAGAGCCAACTCCAGCCCCATTGGGAAGGGAGCTTGAAGGGGAGGGGAGCCACACCTCTGGTTCTGCTCTTGGATATTGGCCCTGAGGATCTGTGGAAGTCAGCTGTGGCACTTTCATGGCCTTACAGCAACCCTTGGCCTCCATGGTATCTCTGAATTATTGCTTCATTTCTTCAGTTGTTCCTGCCTCTTACTAGCAGCCTCATTTTCTCCACCACTGTGGGAGCTTGTATTGAGTTGGTAACTGTTCTCAGAATGTCCCTGCCTGTTTTGGTCTCTCTCTCCCTAGCCTGTGGGTTTGCCTTTAAGGAAGGGGTACAGCGTCTCCCAGGTAGGCCTCCTTGAGCTGAACCACACCTTTTTGGGAGGCAGGAAGGGAAATGATACGGTCACTTACAAAGCTCTCTTGGTGTGGGAGGCCCTGGTCCCTTAGGATCGCCTGGCTCCCCAGGGCTGAGCAGATGGTGTGGAGGCGGCAGGGGCTGGGAGTGCCCTAGTTCTTCCATTTATCTCACTGGGGACAACTGTTGTGCAGATAAGAGTATCAGATTGTTGGTCCTCAAACCTGAATTCAGTTAGGCACTGGGCACTGTTTTTTCCCTTGTCCTTTCCTTTTTGTCTCCTTGCTTTAAAGCAGGGAGACTCATTCCCTTAACGAGACAGAAGAAGGGATGGTAGGAGAGAGTGGGCAGCCAGGGAATTCCAATATTTACTGGTTCCACAGTCTTGGTTCAGTGTAGCAAACTTGTGATTTGGGGTCTGGGTGACATCAGTTGCCATAAATGTATTTTCCACCGGCTACATGAGACATAAGCCCTTACAGACAAAGATACCCTGAGGTTGGCTTAAGAAACTCAGTGGGCCGGGAGCTGTCCAGTGCCCTACACCCTCGGAGCTCTGCCGGGGGCTCGCTTTCCCCCCGGCCTCCAGATGGCGCTGTGGGCGCGCCCGGCACCGCCGCGCGGGTGGGGCGGAGCCTGTCCCGCAGCCGCCGCGCCTCC